ATATGTGACAAAGTTGACAGCGGAGCTAATAAAGAAAACATGAAACATCACGGCATAATTTTTTCAGGAAACCCCAGACCAGATCTATTAGAGAGAGGTGCATGTATACAATGATGTTTCGAGTTGAGCATACTACCTGCGTTTTCACTGAAGCTTTCGTCAACTTGATATGTTTTTTTTCCACATGAACTCAAATGTTTTTAAATTTTGTTGTTTTAGTACTCGATATTCAAATCTAAGGGGCCCTTTTCTCATTTTGGATACAGACATTAATTTTTATTGTTGCAACTTTTTGAATCGAGTCTCACAATTTAAATGTAACATGTAGCATGAAACACTCAACTTGCATAATTGCTACATTGTTCACAAAAAATAAGATAACAGTTAACTCTGCAATCAATCAATTAACAATCAATCAAATAACTCACTTGTTCTTGTAAAAGTTGTAAAATGGATGAAATATCCTCTTCATCTAGATTATCTGCTGATATCACCTCCATGACGGGACCTTCATCTGGATATCTTGGCGTGTATGTAAATTGCAATGTAATCGTGATAGCTGAAAACAATTGTCATTCTATATGTAGCAAAACCATGTGCTTTTTAAATTCAACAGTAACATACAGTAAAAGCATGCATTCATTCACTGGTTTTTAGTTTCTCTATTTCGCTGACTTGTAAAATTAAATACACAGGAACATGTAAAATAACCAAAGAACTCATTGATTCTTGCCAAGTATGTGAACTTAAATTAAAACCCAGTAAAATTGTTCAAAACATCAAAATAATGAAATTAAGTGTCAGTGAAAGTAAACGGTTTTACAGTATGTAGTGAATGTAAAATACAAGGTTTGTGTACGTGCAATTCAAACACACGGTGCCAGTCAACTGTAGTGTTTAAAGAAAACAAACTGACAATACCTCGTTGGCCAAAACATGGGCCAATTAACACATCACCTGTTGAATAACTCCATAGATAGACAAAATGAATGGAAAAATAAAACTGCTTCAGCAGACAATGTGTTTCACAGCTGGATTTATTTTATGTTGCATTTACGATGTAATATTAAAAAAATTATATTGAATGAAAACTGACAAAGCATGTCCAAAATTTTCAAAAAAAAAGATGGCTGCCAGTCGGCCATTTTGAATCAAATCAATAAACCACTGCATGTGCATATGTCCCACATAAAGGCACTGTACTGTACTGAATTATGCGAAAGCCCTTTCTGCAACCAGATGAAACAATGACAGGAATAATATAAACTCACTAAATTTTGTACATATTTATATACATACAACAAAATAGTACAGTACAAGGTTCGATATTTATTTTCAAATTTGGTACCACCAATTCAAACTTCCGGTGTACTAAATTTATTTCATAAACAGCAAAATTCAGCCACTGGGGTGTATAATATGTTGATGTTGATGAAAAAACAGATGAAAGTTAAGAATACATTTTAGTTGGCTTGCGATTTAAAAAAAAATTTAAGTTGGAAATCCTAATTTTGGACACAAAGGCGATCTATTATCACAAACAAAGAACTACAATGTTTTGGATAGTTTAGGTGTATTTGGACTTACATGTAAGGGGTTCGTCTTTCAAATTAAGTTATGTAAACGCAGGGGTTTCGTTAAGAGCCGGCCGCTGGCCATATGACCAGCCACAAACCCAAAGTGACTGTCTACTTTCTCCCCGACCGCGCTGCAGTGCTTTGCATTGCCGAAAGCCTTTTTATTTATTTTTTGGCCTGCTGTTACAGGATGATGCTTTTTGATACATTTTGATACATTTGTGAAATCCCTGAATTGGTAGATTACTGCTTCCAATTTAAAATGCATCTTCAATTACGTTCAACATCTAATTACCACCAATAGATCAAATATAATAGGTTTACTTTTTTTAAAAACTATCATTGCTCAACTTAGTAGTAACACACACTTCAGGAGTATTTCAACTTATCTAAATGTGTAACAATATACAGGATTGTGAACTGACAATTTTTAGCTCTATCTCTTAAAGCTAATTTGAACAAAGTACTCATGACTTTATCAGGGTTTTTTTTCTAGAAAAAAACTGCAAGAGGGAGCACTGCAATTCAGTTACACCACCAAGTGGGAGAGATGGGGTTCTCCCTACCAGGGTGTGGAGTTTTTGATAATTTTAAGTTAAAATCTATGGCTTCCTTGGAGCCAAAATTACTGTCATACAGGTCACAGTTAAAGACTGTGGCCACATGTGATCCCTGGTCAATCAGAATCCATGACTTCATATTTAAATAGATAAACTAAAATTACTTTAACAATAACCTGTCTATAGTGTATTTAGTATTTTCCCCACAGAACCAATCTAATACCCATGCAAAAGACTTGTGGTTTTAGGGGTTTCAAAGAGTGGTGGTTCAAATAGAAACAAACAAATCTGATGGTCAAAAATGAATATGACTGGGTATTTGGATACCAGACCATCGCTAAATTCAAACCAAGTCTGTTTCAAGTATGGCAATAACATAATTTGTTACTGTTTCTAATCTGCATGTTGCCCATGATGCATCACAATCATACGTACCTGCATCCTCTCCATCTTCATCAGTATTTTCTGACGAGATAATGACTTTGAATCGATGTGGGTCCTCAGACAATGCTGCAATAGACAATAAAAAAAGAAAGCTCAGAAAGAATGTGCTAAAGGTATTGGAGGCTTAAAATACAAATAAGGAATACTGTATTTACTAAATATTTACAGTTAACCACATTATTCATTATTATTGTCTAATATGCAAATTAGGTAATTAATATGCACGGATTTCAAATAGAAAACTAATCAGGGTGTGCATTATCTCAGACATCTATGTACCAAGCTCCATTTAAACCTGTTGCCTGGAACATGAAAAGCAAGTAAAAATTGCTTAAAAAATGCTAATTAATATGCAAATTAAGTAATTAATATGCATGGTACTTCAACCGAAAACTAATCAGATCTGCCCACTATCCCAGAGCATCTATGTACCAAGTTTTATTAAAATCTGATAATTAGTTCTTGAGATATCAGTGAAACAGACACACACGTCTTATCGTTATTGTAATGACAACACATTGGATTAACTTTTAATATAGTTGAATTAACGTTTAATATACCGGTAGTTGCAATATGAACTCGATTAAAATGTGTTCCTATATATGGTTGTGTTTTAATAGAAGTTTAATTAAACTCAGTTACAATGCAATTCAACATAGATTTGCGTTTTAATTAAGTTTAATTAAATAAAAGTTGAATATCCCATGACTGAACATAGAAATGTTTACGAGGCTTAGGTTTATAAAGGGGGAAGGTATGCAACATTTATATTATATTAATATAAATTGAACCATACCTTCCCTCTTTACTTCACAAACTTTTAAATACGATTAAATATTAATATAAATTATGAAAAGATTGAGGGTCGTTACGATGTAGATCCTGACGTCACAAGTCGGTGTAAAGTTAAACACACATAGACGCACTAACTGCAAAGACTCCAAACAATATCATAAAATATATAAATAGTAACATTTCAACATTTTTATCATCAATAAAATATATATTCACACGTACTGCCAAGACTGACGTTTTTCCAGATTGTTGAAGGTGAAACAAAAATAGAAAAGAATGAGCGTAAATGCTTCCATGATGCTTGTAATGCATCAAGTTTTTTGAGAGAATTCAACTTGATATCCATGTGCATAAATGGGAAATGAAGATCTCATTCTATGTGCATGTCAACACACACTGCATATGCTTATACATGCTCAGTATGGTCTTTATTGCTATGCAAGTACATGTACAATATGGGTGACAGTTTCACCACATAGACACTTCATTCATAGCTGTGGGTCTTGTTATGTATTTAGTCTTTGTGATGATATTTTAATCATCTCTAGTACATGAAGACACTGTTCTTCCAGAAATTAGGATTTATCGACACAGAAAGGGTACAGTTCCTCCCATATATTGTGCTCATAAATGTGTAATGCAAAAGCGTACCACGAATGAAAACTACACTATTTTCTCATGATACATCATCAAATCTATCACCAATTGTAAATGTTTTATACACTAAAAAAAAAACAGTGACAAAAACAAAACAATCTGATGATATTTTTTCTGGGCTTCTGGACTTCTGTGACTGTTTGTGTTAAATGAGGAACAATATTATGTAACTAAATGATATCACTTTAGTAGGGCATTTCTAGTAAAGTGGAACAGCAACAACACCAGGAAACTGCTTGTTGCGTCCCTTTGGTATTTAGTTTTTTTTTTCTTTAAATACATGCAGATGGAAGCCAATAGGTGATTTTCCGTACAACTGCGGGATCTCGCAAATTGCGTGAAAGACGCACTCCGAACGCCTGCCGCAAAAATCGAAAGATTTGATTTTGAACTCAAATTTCTTTATTTTGTAGCTCACATCGAAAGGCCCATCTTTGACAGGGAAATATTCTGTTTGAATACCCTTACTTCATTAAAATTGAACATAATAAAATGTGTACAGCACATTATTAAGCATGTTCACCTAGACCATTTTTGATAGCATTTGTGCTTATTTTCAAAGTGTGAAATATGCACGTTTTACAGCTCATTTTTGTTTGTGCAACCAAACATTGTTGTGTTCTAGTGCTGCTATCGGTTAAGAACTACTTTAGATTGATGTGCGCAGAATGGGATCCCTTTTAAACATTCCAAAATCATGAGAGTTCGCTTCTCGGTAGATCTTCATTGAATTCCCTAATTTTATATTCTCGCACCCTCCAAGGGCTAGTAACTCAATTCTTCAATATTTTACGCTAACGTTTTCGCACCTTAAACATTTTCTGGAAGATTTGGCAAAAAAATAAGAACAGTAATGCATATTAATTTTGAATATGTATTTTCTCAGCAGACAACACAAGTAACTAGAACTCCGTACATGATCATGTGTCAGGGTCAAAGAACGCACACACATGCGATCCCCCGACCATGGTTCGTGTCTTGTCAGGACAGTCCGACCCCGACACATAGTCATGTAAACCACCGTCCCTCATTTGTTGAGCGGCGGTGAGTTATGACGCACGAAGGGTAGACTGCTCAGCTCGCGAGTGAGTGACATGCGCCAGCCTACTGTGTACTGTGTGGTGTGTATTTACAGACAGGGACATACCGGTGAATTCGTCTGGGTAAATTGATGCCAACGCTTCGATTTCATTATTCTGCTCTTCCTGGTAGTCTGTCATGAGTTACCAGTATGTTGCTGGGAATTTGTTCTTCGCAAAAAGTAATTACAGGCGTGAAATTTCATACGCAGTTCCAACCACATGTGTAAAACTCAGTTTCCGGAAGTACAACTCTAAGATCTCGCAAATTCTCGCAGCCCGTCATTCAAGTTCTATTCATCAAACCGCACATTTAACACTGGATATTTACAGTTAACTAATACTGAACTGTTAGTTTCTAAATTCCATAGCAAGTGAAGTTGCCTTGACAACAGTTTATAAGTTTACTGAATTAAAAATTAAAGTCTCGAAAAGTACGAGTTTTCAAACTGGACGAGACTATATTTACAGAATATAGGTAATATTGAAACTATGGGGTGCACAGTGATCGCTTAAAAAGATATAATTCGTGACGTAAATAATGACAAGTATAAAGTAAAAGATTCAATTTTTAAATTGAATACATTGTCAATACGTTTCAGTGTTGTAAGACATACTGTGTATTGCGATATTAAAAGATATTATAATTACTTCTCCATCTTAAAATAGACGATCTGATAGTTTGTTTCGGGCTGCTTAGGTCATTAGAAAATCTCTCTCTCTCATATTTGAGCTCAGATACTTCCGTGTGTTCTTGAATTTTTCTGAGTGTCTTTCACTGGACTGATCCTCAATTATCCAATAGCTGGTAATAAGTCAACTCTTTATTATTATTATATACAACAAACGGGTAATACAAAAATGGCAAGTGCTGTTAGATTAAGTAATATGCGAAAAATTATTTTGCCCTAGGGAGTGCTGTATATAGGATACGTCGCTGTGGTAGATGTACACAGAGTTGAGGCGGGATCCGCATCATTAACACAGAGAGGAAGATGGCAGAGATGAGTGACCGTGAGAGGAGAAGCAACGTTAACTACTTTGATGCAGCAGACTGTCCGATTGTCAGTGTAGTTGTATACCGCGACAGAGCAGAAGTATGCAGGTCAATTGTCACCGACCTTGAGAAAGGAGACAACGAAGTGGTTCTTAGAAAGCTATCATCGAAAATTGATAAGGACTCTATCAGGTTAGTGGGCGTGCGCGTTTTTTTTTTCTTGGCATGATGACTTGTCATGCCAGCATTTTCCATACAACGGCTGGTTGTACCACAGTAGTTAAATGGCCCCTCGATGCTAATGAGAAACCCTGCTGTACTTTTTTTAGAAAGTTTTGTATCACATGATATTTTTTTTAAAAATACTGGCTAGTAGCTGTTTAAAACTGTTGAAACCTAAACTTGGATTTTGTTTTCAATTGAATCAAAATGTATACATTTTTTTCACATTTCTGTGAATTTTGTTTTAAATCAGTTGTATTTTTAGCTCCGCTGTCGACTTTGTCGAG